GCAGTGCTGGACAATCTCAATCTGGCTTTTGTTGCTTTGAAAGGAAATCATTTTCGCGTCTTGCTCAATTGCTCGCTCGCCCCTTGAGCAATGCGCAGCGTTCACACCCTCCACCCCTCATTCTCCCCCTCTTCTGTATTATTTCCTCGTGATTTTTTGCGCTTTTAGACTTCAGGTAATAGGAAATGGCATTGACCCCTCCTGATCCCCCGATTACCTTTGTGAAGCGTGCACGCGCCACAGAATCACACGTCATGAGGCGGCTCGACGCCATCAGCACGGATCAATCACGCGCTCAGCCGCGCGCAGGAATGCAGCTCGCGGACACGGTCAGAGCCAGCCGCGGCCCGCGCTGATTGACAGCTCTGGTAATTAGGTGATTGTAAAGACCCTTCTGACTGCTAGAACAACGTTGTCAGGGCCGGTCTGTGGCCGGAGCGCACAAATCAACGTGCTTTCCTTGAGCAAGCATAGAGTAGACCAGAACAACTAACAAAGAGATGCGATGTGGGGATGGGCACGCATGTGCTGCATGTGCTGCATGTGTCATCGTCGCTTACTAAAATTTACATTGTAGTTCTTGGATGGATTGCTGTTTTACATAAACAAAACGAGACAGAGACTTCGCCGATGACACTCTACGCGCTATCCCCCTCTCCCGCTTTCGCTCTCATTTTAACATTTGATTTGGGTGTTGAATTAAAACTGTAGGCCTAATTGATGTTCATCTAGGCCACGGGCCCTCCTGTGTCCTTCTTCTAGGCTTATTATTTCCCCTCCTTGTTTGCCTTTGGATTAATACTAGCTGCACTTCAAATTAAACTTGAATGTCACATGTTTTATTACAGTGTAAATTCAAGCACTGTTGAGGGGTGGGGGTGCTGTTAAGATCTAGTAAAAACTGTAATATTGGGATCCTGAAAGTCACTGCTGTAAATGTCACAGCTCACAGAGAGCACCAACCTTCCATACAAGAGCTTCTAAAATAATATTTCCTGTTGAATTTTGACTTTAATAACAATTTTGTGCTAGCCTTTTCCTGTCCGCTCAAATAAAGATGTTAGACATGTTTAGAGAGAGACAGCTAATTTGTTTTCTGTCAGACCCATGATTCTCTGATTAAAGATGTATTTTTGTGTGAGACTGTGTTCTGTCCAATGCTGTCCCCGCTCAAGCACACTGCCTGTTAAATGCAGTATCCCTTAAAATAGCCTGCTTTTATGACACTTACAAATTAAATACTGATTAATACTCAACACTTTCATTTTTATACATAAATAATTGTAAATATAATTATGTGCACGACATCTATGGTATGGATGCCTTTAATAAGTCTCATAGCTTGTCGCGTGTAAATACAATGTAAATACAATATTTGTAGTAATGTCTCTTCTTGATTGCATTCCTCAAATATATATAAAGACAGGTTAATATAGATTCTGATTATAACCCGCACTGTTGTGATTACATCCGTTTCCATAGATCTACAGTAGCCTATATGTGTAAATACACTAGCACTTACTTACTCGGTTGTCTTTAACATCGTGATTCAGGTTATTTTTTATTCCAGGCTTTTTTGAAATATGCATAGATGAGAGGACTTTTAAATGTAAGTCTTTAATTTAAATGAACACCTAGTGTCACATTTTAGGCGTACAAGTGGCAAATATAATAGTCAATAGAAATAGCTCGCGTTCAACAAAGTAGCAGCCTATCAGTGCGTTAGCCTACTGTTAATTTCAAGATCAATTAATTTGGGGTTCATGTAGTTGCATTGCTACTTCATAGTTTGTTAATAATTGCATAAACTTGCCCTGGACTATGAATAAATCTTGATATATCATACATAAACCATATTGGAACTGAAGAGTAAAGAAAATTTGAAAAAGAGCATAAAGTTTTTTAAAGCATCACTAATTAGCCTGCATTTAGCTAAATCTATATTTTCAACTTGTTTTGTTTGTTTCTACGATGTGTCTTTTTCAGATTATTTAGGATATTAGATTAACATTCTGTACGTTTGATAAATGCGTACCGAGACCGTGCACTATGTATATGACAAAGTAGAGAGACCTGTGTGTCTGCAAACAGCGTGAGGCCTTCAGCATTCGCGAGGTGACAGTTTCAATAAAAGGCCGCGAGGGGAATCAATACAGAGCAAACTACAATTTCACCGTCGGATCATCGACCATCAGCCCCGGCTGATCAGATGATACCCTGACTGGTTGTATTCAGTTTGTTCCAGCGGCGCCCTTAAACCTAATAAAGTGATTGATTGAGGCTCAATGAGTTGCTGCAATTAGTGAACTGTTAATGAACATGCTGTTGGAGTCTCATGAGATTGACTGGCGTGTTCAACCATCGCTTTGATTTTCTTCAACGGAAAGACATACATTGCCAATAGATCATTTTCACATATCTTGGGGCAAAACACATTTCACTCCTCTAACTCAATTAGTTAGTAAATTTGAATAGTATATGTTTAAAAGGGCGAGCGTATCTGTAGGCTATGGCAGCAAATATCATATGGCCAAATAATTATATGCATAAAAATATTCTAAAACATTTTAAAATAAATTTTTTGGCTGGAAGTCAATTGTATTTAGACGTCACTGCAAAATTGTTAGATGTAATTCATTAAAGTCAGTTCAGAGTACAATCATAAGTTAACTACAGTGTAGGCCTATCTTAATTTTTTTATGTAACCACCTCAGATATTCAAGACACCTATTTAGGCATTTAGTTGAATTTGGCTGTTGGTAAAACTTGATGTCGGTCTGTGTACATATGAGAGGTTTTGCCCTGCATTAACCAGCAATCTTCAAGCGATTATTGACAGGAATTCTGAGATAGCTTTGTCGCCGCCTAGTGTTATTACAGCGTGTGTAAAATCATGTCATGGAGTGTGTGTTATTAAAAAGAATTGACCAATTAGCCACGACTTAACAAATTATTTCACTCTAGTGCAAAATACAGACATTTTAAGAATGACAAGCTAGCAAGCCAAGCACGATTTTTATATAATTCAAACTGACATTAGCATGTGTGGATATACAGCATCGTAGATCTTTTGTTGTAGTGTTGTTTAGTCACCCGATTTGCAGAAACTTCTAACCAAGATATGTGTAACAGGTCAGTTATTAGGTCGCCGCAAGAAACAGCAAAATACGTGGCACAGAAATAACATTTAAACCAAAGAAACTTTTAAACAAAATATTTTTAAAAGACAGTCTCCAGTACAATCATGCAAATCAGTATGAATTATTAAACAGAATGAACATTTAAAGAGTCCCCCAACCCGAATTATACGAATTATACGAATAGAGGAACATGTACGAAAAGAGAACATGCAATCCCTTATGTTTTTGATTGCAGTATTTTAAACAGTCTTTCCAAAACATATGTTCGAGGAATCCGTTACAAAAAAAAAAGACAGGCACATATAATAAACGTAAATAATTATTATAGCCTAATACAAATAAAAACATCTATAAACTTTGTATAACCACATAAAACTGTTTTCTAAACATTAGTATCTTTTTTGTGAAAGAAATTAAAGCGGGGCGCAGAACAAACCTAAATGATGACTCCCACGTCGCTCAGCTAAATAAAAGAGGTTAAAAAAAAACTCGGTTCGGTCCGTTAGGAGGAGGTTGCAAACAGGTTTGGCGATCCACGGAAAGCTCGACCGTGACAAACCTACGTTAGTGAACGCAGCATCCTGATATAACCAGCTCTGAGTCCGTCTGTTGGAGAGCACGTGAACCATCAGATACCTCCATATCGCATCATCATCATCCTCTTCTCAGTATAAATCTACGCACTCAACGGCATAGGCCTATAGCCTAAAACATTTTGAACTGTAAATCAAAATTAACAATCAATAGTCGTGCATTAAACAGTGTTGTAAGATGATTATTATTTTATCAAGAATTTTTTCCCTCCTAATGTTTATCGAGAGGTAAAGATTCAAACGCATATACATTCGTTGGTACTTAATTTCTTCTCCCCAATCTGAAAATATTTCCATTTAACGCACTTTGTCTTCTCGTGTATAAACAAAGTGAACGAAATGAAGCTGATTTATAAATCTAGAATAGGCCCAGGGTTTATTTAGAAGAAAATAGGCAAGATATGAGTCGGGCATATGTCATGTACAATATTCGCCATAATTTATTTCCCTTGAGCTATTTAGAATCAGTGCTTTCACTCAGAGGGCCCAACACACACAATGACTATCAGCTCAAAACGGGCTTATTTCTCTAGCACGTTTCACTGTCTCTGTGCTCTTAAAAGAATAAATGACACAATTTTGTTTTGCCTATAGGGATTATTATTGTGAGGTTTGCTTTTGGAGAAATATAACCTGAAAAGAAAAAAGAAAAAAAAAAAAACACAACGTAGGCTGATTCAAAGCATAGCCTATGTAATGAATGAATACTAAACAAGTAAACAATGCAATAATTAAACAAAGTTCACAGCTGAATAAGTAAACCCTTTTGATATTATTTGTTAATTTATATGTTTACGTTTTAATTGACGGAATACGGAATGTTATAATTACAGTGTAATTGATTAGTTAGTCGCTGGGTAATATTAGTGAACTATAGCGTACTTTTTTAAAAATTATTTTGTGGAACATCTAGTAATTTCACGTTGTTGTTTTTTTTAATTTTTTATTACTGTGTGGTAATTAGTTTTAGCAACAAGCAATATGTGTAACATGCACACAATGATGTAAAGTGTTACCATAAACGTATTTATGTCTAATGAAGATGCAGTCTGAGACATTATAGCGGAGGGAAGGTTTCAAAAGAGCATTGCGGAATCAATGAGTGGCTCTAAAGTGTAATGATGAAATAAAAATCGCTGATTGGACAGACGCGTGACCACGTAGCCAATGAGAGGAGAGATGGGGAACACGAGGAGCGTGTTATAATAAAGGAGAAAATATGACGTCAATGTAGGAAGTCATTGTAGAGCAACACTACAACGATTAGTGGCAAAAGGGAGCGTGATGCCGAGGAGTTAGAGCATCCCAATCTCTCCACACCTCAACTTTGAAAGAAAGTTCAATAACCATAACAAAAGGACGTGGACTACACAGATCCACTTGCTTTCCACATTTCACCTTGAATGTAACAACACCTTGGAGCGCCGGCTATATTTATCTTTTTCTTTGCCTTAATAAGTGCAAGGATTTTTATTTGCGCGTAAGAAATGTTTATTTTGTATTTTTTCGGGGATTTTTTTATTGCGTTAACCTTTGAGTTTTGTTAGTCGTTTCGTTGATTCCTATTAAGTTTTTTTTTCTTTTACAAAATTGTACAGGAAAGTTGTTATGAAGACGACTTAAGTGCTCATCCTTTTCTTATACTATGGAAGGATCCAGTGGGTCTAGTTTCGGAATAGACACTATTTTGTCCACAACCAATTCTGGCAGCTCAGTACTGATGAACGGAGATTTTCGCCTCGTTGACAGTAACAGAACAGCGGATTTCAGGAGCCAGGCGACCCCATCACCATGTTCGGAGATAGACACTGTGGGAACATCCCCCTCATCCCCGATCTCAGTTACGATGGAGCATCCAGAGTCGCATCTGGTCCAAGACAGCCTTCAGCATCACCATCACCATCATCATCATCATCATCACAGTCAGGCTCAGAGTTTGCAGCTTTCACCCCAGCCTCATCCGCTTGGTCAGGCTGGCTGTGCCCCCAGGACTGCCACCTCCTCCTTTCTAATCAAAGACATTTTGGGCGACAGTAAACCGCTAGCAGCGTGCGCTCCTTACAGCACCAGTGTACCATCTCCACATCACAGCCCCAAAACAGAGAGCGGAACCGCCCCGGACGGCATCAGGCCCAAACTAGAGCAAGAAGAAAACAGAAGCAAACTGGACAAAAGAGATGACATTCAGAGCGATTTCAAATGTAACGGTAAGAGTGCGTTTTACATGCTAATTAAATAAATACATAATAAAAACGTAGGGTAGACCTTTAGATCACAGTATCCGTTTGAAATTAATACTTTTTGTTAATAAAATTGAATCAATAATTAATAGCAGTTTGAAATTCAGAAGAATTGCCAAAATACACATATTATTGTCAATACGTTGTACTTACACAGTAATATGAACATTGCATCTGAACCGCGAAACAAAAAATAACATTAGCAAATAGATTACGAAAATATCGAAAAACATTTAAATATCTTGAGAAACTTTTCTGTGTTTTTTAATATTGCAAATCTAAGCTGTGAGTTTAAAGAAGTATCTTCTTCATTGTGAAGTTGAAAGCGCATGGAATTCTTCACAACTAATTGTTCACATTAAATAAAATATCCTAATTATAACAGATTTTTCGACTAAACGTAAATATTTCTTGACTGGGCTGTAGCAATAAACGCTGTGGACCAACCGCTTAAATATTACATGCATTCAATTGTACACAATACCTATAACATTTTACTTAGCCTATTATTATAATAAAAAAGACGTCCCTATTAAAGCTAAATAAAATGTTTTTTTTGTTTTTTTGTCTGTAATTTCATTAAGAACCAGTATTGCAATACAAAAACAATATTGGTAGCCGGTCACTGAGGTTATTCTCTGATATTAGCATAACAGATGTAAAGGCTGGTGAATTTTGCCCGGTGTGGAATCCTCCCTAGTGAGTCAATTAGAGAGATTATTGTTCTTCCTTGAGGGGGGATCACGGAGCCCAGCAAAAACTGCTACAAATAGAGATAGATTGAAATATCGATCCTGCTCGTTTTGCTGTAATATTTTCGACATGCGAGATACCTAATTTATTTGGGAGACAAATGTGTATATTTTTGTTTACCTGCAATTTGATTTTTTCCCCTAAAGACCCTGATACTCATAATACCAAGACGAAATAATCAGACCGAACCGTATTTAGATTTGCGTATGTAATCGAGGCCTATAACAATCTCAAGTTACCAAAATAAACCTTTTAAACAGTAATTACTAAATTATTAGACTGTGTTCTCATTTTTAGTAAACTCACTTAAATAAAATATAAATGGACACATTCGATAATTTTTAAAATAGGCCTACATTTTCCTTAATTTTTTATTGTGCTAACTTCTTTAGGGACAAAAGAAGAGGGCGATCGGGAAATTTCTAGTTCGAGAGACAGTCCGTCAGGCCGCTCCAAAAAACCTCGTAAAGCGCGGACGGCCTTCTCCGACCATCAACTTAACCAGCTGGAGCGCAGTTTCGAGAGACAGAAATACCTCAGCGTGCAAGACCGAATGGACCTGGCAGCAGCCCTAAACCTCACAGACACACAAGTCAAGACCTGGTATCAAAACCGACGGTAAGTTTTCACATACCATTTATGAAATATAATAATAATAATAATAATAATAATAATAATAATGTTTTTAGATTGTGCAAACATTTTACCTTTTTTGTATATACATTTGAATCTTTAGCCATTGTCAAAATTCGAGATGTTATTATTTATTAGTTAAGATTTTTTATTAGGCTATTATTATTATTATTATTATTATTATTATTATTAAGCGAACTTTTAAATATCTGAACGGCGTAACAAATAATTTTAACATTCTGTCTGAAATTGTATTTTACAGCTTTGTCATATTAAACAACTGCAAATCATTTGATTGCAGTTAGCAGTTCATGAAAGACGCTATACTTAAAGCAACGCACTTTCATTTTTAAACAATTCAATTTGTATTAGATTTAGTATAGCTAAGCTATTATTATATATTTATAATAACAACGGATTTTAGTCATGCTGTTTACTTTTGTAGAGAGTTCACTGAATTCGAAATGGATCGGAAATCACAATTTGCCCAAATTTAATAAAAAACCAAGACCGAAAAAAAAAAAAAAATGTTTTAGTCACAAACAATTATCATTATTCTGATGTATTTTACAAATAATTTCGGCCTAACGGTTTTATTGATATGGAGTTTACCTAAATTTGTTTTGTACCAGAATCTAAAATGTAGGCTACCTCTCGAACAATTAATCTGGTCCAGAAGGAGCCATGTGGAGAGTTTAATAATTGATTTCTTGTATTTTGATCTCATTATAGGACGAAATGGAAGAGGCAGACGGCTGTCGGATTAGAACTGCTGGCTGAAGCATAAAATATATGCAAACAAAAGCGTAGTGTAAAAGATCCAAAATCCAGAAACACACACACACACACACACACACACACACACACACAAGGAAAATAATTGTAGTCAATCTAAGAAATTGTCAAAACTGTTAAGCTTTCGGATCGACAACTAACAAAGTTAGGCTATGGATACCCTCTATAGAGTTAAATTCTTTAGCGTTTGCATGCAAGAGAAATTCGGTCAGTTGTGAATTTAATAGCACATTCAGTTGTAAAGCCATTTAGTAATTTCTAGATAATTTAAAAAGCTTGTGTTCTGTTGTAATGCTGTAGTACCCGGCTTGTATACACAATCGCCAAACAACCTCATTTAACATGGGCCAATAATATAAGCTGCACATTGATGCTCTACTTGCATCATTTGAATCGCTTGGAATGCGTTAAAGAACTGCCATATTTTGTTTGTTGTTTTTCGTTAATTGGACATATTCAAAACGCATCAAATAATATTAACATAAGTTTAGTACCGAAAAAAGAGGCATATCGTAAGACATTTAATTTAGTTAAAATAAATAAATAAATAAATTACAGGCTCACGATTAATGCAAATAAGTTAACCGAGACCATGTGTAAAGGTAAATTCCGACGTTCCCCAATCCGGTTTCCAATCCAGACAAAGTAGCATTTTCAAACGCTTCTCTAATTTTTAAGGCTAATCGACAGTGGAGTGGCTATGACTGTTTAGACTATATGAAAAAAAAAAACCCGTGCAAGTAAATCATTTGAGGCAGACAAGATACCTCAAAAGTGCATTTTATAATTTTTGTATTCAGCATTTGTTGTACAAACATTATGTTGACATATTGTTTCACTTTTCAGTGCACCACAAGCAAGTTGAGTGTGGAGACATTACCCTTATGTGGTATTGCTGAAAGTGTAAAATCAATTTAATTCATAGGAAGTGGTGCTTGATAGCAGCATCCTCAAAACAATGTGGGGCAGTAAATGCTCAATTGGCTGTGGCCTTTTGACCAAGATCTGTTAATTTTATTTAACCTATGGTTAAAATTGACTTCCAAAGGGTTGAAATGAGGGAAGCCAGGGACTGGTAACAAGCTAGGTGAGAGGAGGGGTGCTGAAATTAAAAGAGGATGTTCAGACCTTTCATTTACATGACACACATTATAGAAACAGATTGCTGCAAGGAATTGGTTTGTTCTTGTTGCTTCCAGGAGCCCAAGTAAGGTTTTGTAATTGCCACATTTTCCAGCTGATGTCATGTTAGGGATGTCTTACTTATTATCCTAATGAGGGAAACGCACCAGCTCTCAGAGACCTGCTCATTACCACATTACTCGCTTGCACTTTCTTAATGCACCATCTTTCATACTCAAAAGGCAGGGATATTTCCAGACAAACTTCTCGAAGATGGTCACGTTGCAAGGTCACTCACTGAGTCGTTGAAAGGCGACAATCAGTCGTGTGGGATTTAAACGATGCACTCAAGGCCCGAGTCATCGCAGTGCCTCACAAAACAGCATGGAAGTGCCACATTAAGCATCTGGGTGTCCCTTAATTATCGTGGGTTGGATTCTTAAACTTGCCCTGTGGTGATGGCGAGGTGTCAGGATGATGAATTTTAAGATTGTAGGTTGTCAACGTGTGCATTTTCAAAGCAGGCTGAATTGGAGGAAGGGTTGTAACAAGGTTAGAATCGTTTAAAGTGTGAAAGGGGATTTCTGCCAGGAGGCAGGAGTGGTTGACAGGCATTGTGGCGCACCTCTGCGTTATTAGCAAGTTTTAGAAATTTTAGTGAAGGTGTGAAATGGACTAATACTTTTAAAAATGCTTTTCATTTTGGTTATCATAAGAATTATATGTCCCTAAACACTCAAATGATTCATCAACACTCAATTCAACACTCAAATGTTTTTTATCAGGTCCCACTGCTAATTTCCATGGCCATACTGCTTTCAACAAACTCACAAGCAGAAAATCTGACAGTTATCTGGCGGTATTAAATAAAATAGGAACTGCAGTGCCATTAGATTGCGAGACAAAACTTTTGATTAATAAACTGATTAAACCTCTTTTCCAGCACATACATTTGCAGATTTTTTATTTTTTGTAAGTGCAAATAATTTGAATTAAATTGCCAATAAATATGAAATAACAACTCAATTTGATCTTAGAAAAAAATATCTACATTTCAATATGTATGCCTCAGCCGATACATTTTCATTGTTGACATTCAGAGCTGATGGGCTGGAAGAATGTGTTAAAATCTGGCACCAAATATATTTTTCACCAGTTATCAGTTCAATCAAATGTCTATTTGGGTATTATTCACAGATCATGCATGTGTAAAACTGCCATAAAAGGATGCAACTGTCAGAGAAAGAGGAAGAACCCAAAGAGAAAGACAAAAATAATTCCACATATAAGCACAGAAGGAATGTTTTACTGCAGCTCACCTGGTTGAGTTTGATTCCCAGAGCACACACAAACTATTAAAATGTATACTTAAAATGACTTTGGATAAAAAGTGTTAAAATGCATGAAAATCTAAAATGGGATGTACAATACACTCCCAGGAATATGGGTGTTGGAGTGGCATACAGTAGCGCGCCCTGGTTCTGGTTTCCCCCCTCCAAAATTTATTGGACATTGCATTAAGTTCCAATGCCAAAATCCACTGCCAGAAAACTGGAAAAAAAGTATTTCATGAAAAGCAAGCAATAATGTTTTTGACAATGAAACAGATGGTGAAAAGGCTATTATAATAGCAAATAATTGACTCCCACATCTAAGCCTACTTGTGTGTCCAAAATGACATTCTTCACACTATGCACTATGTACTAGTGTATGAATTTTATAAGGTAATTTTGTCATTCAAAGTTACAGTCTGAGAGCCCCTCCCTTTCATAAGTAATTAAAGCTGTGACAGTTGAGTACATTAAGTCTGCAACATTCCACTCCTTGTTTTCCTGTTAATTAAGTGCATCATCCAGGTATTTAAAAGTGCACCATTTCTTTTGGACTTTTGTGTGTGTGTGTGTGTGTGTGTGTCCTAAGTGAACTGTTATTTCTATAAATCCCATAGTCCTCACTTCACTCAGTCCTGCCAGGTATTTAAGAAGAAAACTTATTACAAGTGTCCTGGGCCATCATTTCATCAGCCTTTTCCTTTCTAAGCTGGAACAGTCATCTTCCTGCTCCTGTCGTGACATTAACGCTCATCCATGACACTTCTGCTGAATGATGCATTAGCTGAGTGCTATCATGGTTTAAACGCTCTCATCATTTCAGCAAATCCAGCCTTTTCTCCTCTCCTTTTTCTTCTCAATTGACGGGACAGCTGATGGCGGAGAAGTTCTGCTAGCTTTCAAGTTTCAAACCAGCCACCGTCATTGTAAGTGTGGCCACATGAAGGAGCACAAGAAAGGAAGGGGAAAAAATTCTGTCAGCAGCAATGTCAAAAGCTTCAATTCTTACAGAGCAATTAGGGGTTTCATCATCTCTGAGAGGTGTCAGCATTCATTACGGCTCAACAACAGCTAATTGCTTCAAGGTTAAAATTACAGATCTGACAGCATTATTTTAAGTGACAGACTCGAGCTCTGTGATGCTTCACAGTGGCAACACACTGACATTAAGAGAGACGAAAGAGAGAAAGAGTGCAGCTCGGTCATAGAGAGAGAGATGGAAAGATAAAACGAGTGAGGTAGAGAGAAAGGCAGGGGAGGAGAAGTGCTGTTGAAATTACTGCACATTAAACGTACAATCTGGTACATCTACTAAAGCTCTCGTAGGAATCCACTCAAGGCCAGATTTCTAGTAAAAGGCCCATATGATCAATTCTTCACACGAACACCTATTTATACAGTCTTTTCCTCCCCATTTCCCTAGCCAATCCCATATGCAACGTAAAGCAATGACAGTACAGGTACATGTAAATGATTCACATCACAACTAATGAGAAGTGAGATCAGACTGAAATTAAGAGTGGATAAAATGCTCAGTTTTGTGCAGGGCTGCTCATTTATGTGCTTCTAAGTCTTTAGGCTCCTGGTGGCTATGAAGTGCATTCTGAACGCATTGTAAATTAATTACTGGAAGCCTGATCTAACTGTGGAAAATACTTTGCACCCATAGGACTCAGCACAGTTAAGATGGTCGTCATCTTTATTTGTTTGCCATGTCATTATGGCAAGCTGCATGAAACGCATTGTTAATGTTGGCCATTCTCTTTTCTTTGTTTTTCTCTTTTTTGGAGCAGTGGTATGGCTTTTGCCCGCAGTCATCATGTGGGTGTAGGTGTGTGAGTGTGTGGACTAGACTTCAAATTAGCTGTGTAGAAAGCTGGTGTAGAAAAGGTGTAGAAAGCTGGTGCGTGGGGAAAAATTGAGCGTTTTTGAGTGAAATGAATTATAGATTGCTGCATGCATGCTGGGCAACGGCTGGAGTCATTTCTTTCAAGTGAGCAGTTGTTTACCCTTCTCTTTTCCCCTCTTCTTAAAGTGGAATACCTGATCCTTTGAACTGATTGTTTGTTTAACCGCTGTTGGGAACGTAGAATCCCTGAGGTCTGAGCAAGTGTTGATCTAAGATTGGATTTAAAATTGTCTAATGAGGAACTCTTTGGATAATTAGCACAGGCTGAAATGCTTGTTAATTTGAGTACCTCACTACGCAGTTCAGGGGAAGGAGGGGGGAGGGGGTCTAGATGAAAGAACACAGAATGCAGGGTTAATGAAAATTATCACATCAACTTGGTCTCTACCTTTTGGTCTTATTCTTTGTTCTGTTTTGACTGCGTCATTAGGTGAGCAATGGAACAATTAGCTGTGTAGTTCATGGAGAGGCTAGGACTCCACACTTGAGAGCTGCTGGTGTGGCTTTAGCTCCATAGGGGTAATTAGACGCTTGGAAGTGTTGCTCGGTGAGGTCCAGCAGGAAATGAGGCCGTGGCACCTTGCCCGTAAGGGAATGATTGATGTCCCACCCTGTACTCAAACCTTGAGC